GAGGATTTTTGTTTTCTTTATGTTGAGGTGTAATCCATACTGAAAGCTGTAGTATTTGATCTTCATAGGCACCACTAATTCAGAACCCATAACCCTTTGGACCATACCTTTGTAACATTCATGAAAACAAGAACCATTTTTAAGGTCCTGCAAGTTAAAGTTCTGCAAGGTACTGATAACAAGCCTTGTCCCCTTTTCCATCAATTCGTGCCTAAAAGAGTACGATGTCCTAACAGTGGTTCTTGACTGGATGCTACACTCATGGGTACAGATTAGCCGATACACCTGCTACATCTTAATAAGATACTGGGAATGAGAACCTTGGCCCTGTATTGAATGCGCACCATGGGCCCAGCAGGTGTTAATGCTTCATGCCTTATCTCATTTAATACCCACAGCCATCCTGTGAAGCAGGCTCATTACCGCCATTGTGCAGATAAGTAAACCGAAGTTTAAAGAGGTTAAGTACTTGCCCTAGATCATCCAGCCAATGAGTGGAGGAACCAGGACGCTGGCCCAGGTCTTTTTACTACACGAATGTACTCAAAGGCTTTTCCTTCCTGCCATCATTCAACGTTTAATAGTTCCTAGCCAGACACTGGGCGGCAAAATGGTTAAGTGCTCGGCTACTAACCAAAAGGTTGGCAGTTCAAATCCACCCAGAGGCTACTTGGAAGAAAGACTTGGAATTCTACTTCCAAAAAATCAGCCACTGAAAACCCTATGGAGCACAGCTATACTCTGACACACATGGGGTCACCATGAGCTGGAGTCAACTCGATGGCAACAGGTTTGTTTCGAAGCTAGGCACTAGGAGTTGGGAACACTAAGAATAAATCATGGTCACTGCCTTCAGAGGGCTCACAAAGTATACTGAATAGTCTGAATCTGAGAGGCTTTCTGACCCCATCAACCACCCTGGCCTTTAAGCCAAACAGAAGCCCTGGCATTATTTGATCTTCATCCTACGCAGCCTGCAGTACCGCGGTGCTCTGCCAGGGGGCAGCAGTCTCCTCAGTGGACTTGTTACTCCCATGGGGCAGGGAACCTGCTCGGGTCCACCCGTGTTCCACCCTCAGGCACCAGCATAGTGCACAGGCACCAAAGCACAGAGCAAGCTGACTTCTCACACTGATTAACAGCTTAATTAATTAATTAATTAATTAAGGTTTCGAACTGATAGGACTCCCTAAAAGGAAGACGTATTCAGCTGCTTTTCCCATTGTTTCCATTACACACTGGAATGTTTTATCAAAATAAAAAAAGGCCCTCGGAAAAAACACAAGCCCCACCATGTTCTGTGAAGTTCTAAGTCGATATTAACCTACTCTATCAGGTGCGTGGGAATGGTGAATGCATCCTATTTTAGGACACAGGAACTGCCTCATTGTTTGCCAGCGAGGAAGCTTCCTGCTGAAGCGCTGACCAGCCCCACCCACCCTTCATGGGATTGACACCCTGTCTTGGAATGCTGCCGGTGGGCAGCAGGGACAGAGAGAGGACGAGCAGCTCACTGGAAAAGCAGGGTCTGGGGAGAGGAGCCCTCTAGCATCTCCCACCCAGGGGGACAGAATACACACTGCATCCATCCTCCCCAGTTATGCAAACAACAGGGGAAATCACACCCAGGGTACATTTACAACAGGGATTAGTGACCACCAGGGACGCCTCCTGCTGTCCAGGGCCTTCAGTCATCCACAGACAGGCCTCCAAGGTCCTCTGGTGTCAGCATCCTGCACTCTGGCCGCTCCTACGCTGTCCATATGGGACTGAGGGCCTGGCAACACTCAACGCGTAGCTCACGTGCTGAGAACCAGGCTGTCAGATCCCCCGTTTTCCTTGGGGAGCACTAATGAAACAGCTGCAAACAGCACTGACTCGGAGTGAAGGGACGGGCCACAAGAAAGATGCAGAAAGAGGGCTCAGCCCCCCAATGGGGGGGAGGCCGCGGCTGTGGACCCGGGCCCCAGGTGCGACCCACCGTCGGACAGGTCTGCGTTCTTGGATAGTTGCTCCAGCTCCCAGCCGAGATGCGCGGATTCGTTCATGCTCTGCTTCTGCGCCATCTCCAGGACCATGTTCTCGTCCAGCAGCTCCTCAATCCGCTTCTTGTCGGTGTCCCTGTCCTAGCGCAGGAGGGAAGAAGAGTGAGCATGTGGCCAGGGGACCCTTGGGAAGGCCCTGCCCCATGCACCCCTCATTCACTGAGAATGAAGGGACTTGCTGCCCGGTCCATTCCAAATAAACAGAGGTGCGTAGCATACAGGTGGCTCTAACGCAGGCCCGGCTGTGAGACTGTTGTTGTTAGCTGCTGTCAAGTCCATTCCGACTCACAGCAACGCCAACAGTGCAGAGTAGAACTGGTTACCTAGGGCTTTCAAGGCCGTGACTTTTTGGAAGCAGATCGCCAGGCCTGTCTTCTGAGGGGGCCTCTGGGTGGGTCTGAACCACCAGCCTCTCAGTTAGTAGTCGGGTGCTTAACCATTTGTGCCACCCATCACCCACTGAAAGATGTCTCAGCTGTTAACCGGAAGATCAGAGGTTTGAGTCCACTCAGCAGCACCTTGGAAAAAGGCCTGGCATTCTACGTCTGAAAAATCAGCCACTGAAAACCCTATGGAGTACAGTTCTACTCTGACATATATGGGGTTGCCATGAGTCAGGGATCAACTCAGTGGCAACTGTTTTCACGCCTGGCTACCTAGATTATAAGGAGCCTGGGTGGTTCAAGTGGTTTGCAATTGGCTGCTGACCTAAAAGTTGGTGCCATGGAAGATAGGCCTGGTGATCTGCTTCTGTAAAGATTACAGCCAAGAAAACCCTATGGAGCAGTTCTCCTCTGTAACACATGAGGTCACCATGAGTCGAAATTGCCTGGACAGCAATGGGTTTGGTTTTTGGGGGAGCCCTGGTGCCACAGTGATTAAGGGCTTGGCTGCTAACCAAAAGGTCAGCAGTTCAAATCCACCAGCCACTCCTTGGAAACCCTGTGGGGCGGTTCTACTCTGTCCTATAGGGTCACTATGAGTTGGAATCCACTCAACGGCAACGGGAACCTAGATTATGAAGACAGACTCACAGTTTCTAATTGAACGTATCAAAACAAAGTCTCAGCCGCCCCTGGGGCTTTAAGCACATATGATGGTAATGGGCAGCTCTGTGGCCCCAGTGCAGGCCTAATGCCTCAGGAGGATGTAAAGAGGCTCATGAGTCACAGCTAACTCATACTGTAAGTTTCTAGCAAAGCCCCTTCTTGAAAAAGACATGCAGGTACATTCATTCTTACAGACACACAACAGAGAAGTTGGTCCTCTCTGTTCTGTGGGTGCTGAGTGGTGCGCTCTCACGCCTGCAGGCCTTGGCCAGCTACTCTCTGCAGATCACTGCAGCAGCAGCAAACCTGGCTGTTAGAACACAGGACGGAGAAGGACATGGCAGAGACGGGGAGCTGCCTCAATCTACGTTTCCCCAAATGTGGTAACAACACAGCCTGACATACCAATTCCAGGTCATGCAGTTTCGACTTCAGCTGCAGGTTCTCCTTCTCCAGCTCGTGGACTTTATCACTGCGGGCCCGGGCTGCGGTCAGCTGCTCCTCCAACATGGCTTTGGTTTCAATTAAAATGATGTTATCCTCCCTCAATTCCTGGTCAGCAGAAACATGCATGAGAACCATCAGATAAAGGCACCTGGTTTAGGAAGACAGAACTCTAACACCAAAGCTCTCAGGCACCTGGATCAAAACAAACCACCAAGGGATAAGCCCGCTGCAGGAAGTTTTGTCTTCACCTTTATCCTCAGCACCTCTATCACTAGGCCAGGCCCAGTGGACCTTCTCTACTGAAAAGACAAATCCACGAATGGAGAAAACATTTAAATTCGCGACGGTGACATCTATTCAATGCCTACCGTATGCCAGGTAAAACTGAGGAGTTTTACATCCATAACCTCTATTGGTCCAACAGGTGGCCTCTGCTTACAAATATGGGACCTCTCGGAGTCCCAGTTTCCTTAACGAGGAAGGGGTGGCAATAAGAATTTGTCCCGGGTTCGAGGCCTGAGTCTAATCCTCTCAATTCAACATTCATTTCACTGATCAGGGTCCCAGAAAAAAACAGCTATTCAGATACGCTTTCATTCAAAACAGTTCCTGTTTGAGCATTTCACACACGCACTCTGGGAAAGACAAAGGTTCTTGGCAGTTTCCTAGAAATGGGGCGTCTTTAAGACAGATGCGGCATAGCAAACCAACCACAGTGAGCTCCAGCAGTACGGTCGGTAAGCCTGCTGTATACCAGCACACTCTGGGTGCGGAAAACAGTGGCCGGTCCCCGCAGACCCCCTCACGGGGGAGGGGTCCGCTGGACACTTTAATCTTGTCATAGGCCACCGGCACTATGAGGGAGGAATTCAGTTTGTTCATCACATCTCTTCCTCACCCCCTGCCAGAGGGTGAGGGATAAACGCTTTCGGGGTTTCTCTTGTTCCCCAGAGCCTTCCCAGCACTGCTCAGCAAGTTGGTGGACTGAATCTTCCCGAGTGCCTTCCCAGTTTATGAACACACACATGCTGAGAATCTGAGGGGTCCCTTCGGTGGGGAGACGTCTTCGAAGGCTTTCTGCAGTGACAGATTGTAACACCTGGGACTGGACTAAAGCTCCTGCTTGTCCACTTCTAGCTTGTTTTCCCCAGGCATGGGCTGGCATCCTGGATTCTTGGTAGAGGGGGAACCACACTTACCCCGTCACTGGACACAGTCTGTATCAAAGACTGGCACCTGGTGAAATCTAGTCATAAAGTCTCGGGGTTCACCTGCCTACCTCCCTCTGCCTGTCTCCAGCCGAGACAGCGTCCACTCTGGGGTCACATCACACTAGCTGCTCTGCTCCTGGCTCATGCTCTCACGACAGCCCTGAGAGGGAGGTAGGGGCAGTCCCCTCTTACAGGTAAACAGACTGACTCAGACAAATTAAGGAACGAGCCCCAAAGTCACAAAGCCTCACAGCGAGGGGTGACACTAGGGCGTGAACTCAGGTCCATTAAGATACAGCCTATCTCTCCAACCCTTGCAGCTGCCCACAGACCCTTCCTCAAAGGGCTCACATGAGTAAGAAAAACCCAGACTGCTACTAACCACAGCCAAAAAACGTCGAGGGCTTAAGGGAGAAGAAAGCCCGGCCCTCCTCCTCTGGCCTCTGCTCCCACATGAATGCTCCAGCCAGTCAACCCACCAGCATTCCCCGGTACCTCTACACTCTCTCAGGTCCCTTGCTCCCACAGCACAGTCTGCCCCTCTGTCCTTACAACCAACTCCTACTTCTCTTCAAAACCCAGCCTGAGTTGCCTCCTCCGAGGGCTCCCTATTCCACCCATCCCACCTGACAAGTGGGGCACTTGGGCTCCCAAAGTGCCCCGGGCACAGTCTGAGGCTGACCTGCCCTCCTATTCCTAGATGGTAAACTCCTTGAAGGCAGGGACTGCTCCACTTCCACTTGGGGAGCCTTGCGTAAGTGTTCAGTAACACTGCTGGCTGAATCACGCTGTGTCAGGGAAATCGGAGGTGGCGTGTGAGGCAGACCTTGGAGGGCTGGTGACTTCTAACAGGCAGGGATGGGCGAGTGCACCAGGAATGGAACACAGCACCGAACAGGATGATTCCAACTACTATTCAAATGAACCTCAATTTTCTGGAAGTTTCAACTTCCACCATATTAGGCAACAGAAATATCTCAATCTGTTGTGCACGGCCCACTACCTCCGGAGAAAGAAGATCTGAAGGAAGCCACGCTCAAGCTCCTAAGGCAGGCCACGGTTCAGCCGGACACCAGCGTGGAGACCTGAGAAGCTGGATCCCATCCCTCCAGGCAGCAGCCCCAGGCCAGCCCCACCCCTGCCCTGACCCCAGCTGAACCGGGAGCTATTTAAAGGCACGACCCAGCCCAGCAAACACTGGGGGGCCAGGGTCAAGAAGGCCAGGGCCAGACAGGAGGGCTGGTCCCGAGTGGCGTGAGGGCCACAATCAGGTACGCGGAGCTCCAGTCCCCAGGTTGCCACGCATGTCAGCCACGGGACTCGAGGCAGTTCGTGTCCCTTTCTAAGATGGGCATGAAGCCACGGTCAATGTGGGGATCAGATGAGATACCAGTTACCAGGTAGTCAATTCCAGTACATGGCGACCCCACGTGTGTCAGAGGAAGGTCCATGTGGGGATCAGATGAGATACAGTTACCAGGTATAGTCAGCTCATACTCATGGCGACCCCACGTGTCAGAGGAAGGTCCACGTGGGGATCAGATGAGACACCAGTTACCAGGTATACTCAGCTCCGACTCACGGCGACCCCATGTGTGTCAGAGGAAGGTCCACGTGGGGATCAGATGAGATACCAGTTACCAGGTATACTCAGCTCCGACTCACGGCGACCCCACGTGTGTCAGAGGAAGGTCCACGTGGGGATCAG